ATCCTTCGCGACACTGACACATTTCCTAGAACACAGAGTGAACATGAGTGAATCTTTTCCAGAAAAATAAATCTTATTTCACCTATAACACAATTTTATTTATTTCCGTTTGTGCGTATGTGTGTACTGTAAGTCGTTCGTGGGTCTTTAATGAATGGCTAATTTGAGCTTAACCTGTTCAACAACACAGTCGTCTAATCGATTTTAAGGCGAACTAGGTAACTAATTAACTCATTCCCGTTTTCCTTGAAGTCGACAGTCCAGATTCGCTCATCCCTGCTTTACAATCCTTCCTAATGGCAGCAACAGTTGTGCAAATCGCATCAAGCGAAACTTTATGCATCGCTGCGAAAATGAAAAGTGACAAACTGGCGCATTTCCCTTGATTCTTTTCTCGCGTTGTGACCTTTCTCTTAAAGCAAGTGGAGTTCAGTGCAGCCTAACTCATCAGTATATTCCCACGACCTCCCCCTCCAATGCCCCTTTCCCTGCTCTCGTACTTCACTCATCCCTTCGCATTTTCCTTTACTCCTTGTCCTCCTTCCAAAACCATCCCCTTCCCTTGTCCTTGTCCTCCTCCCTACGTTTTCCCCAACACCTCGCCCTCCACCCCCCTTTCCCAACCCCCGCCTTCGACCTCCCTCCCTCTCCCCACCCCCTCGCCCTGCACCCATCACCACCACTTCACCATAAATCTGAAAATCCAGCGCCATAACCTCCGCCAAAGCGCTCGTCCGCCGCGCCGTGCTTGCAGAGGCAGCCGTGTACGCCTATCGTCATGCACTCGTTATCGCAGGCACTTCCGCTCGTCTGGCGACCGCATAAATTGGCCTTTACTACGGCCGTAAGTTGTCGCTGCGTCGCCATTCTACCTACGTCGACGTTGCCTCGCTAGGTGTTGTTAAGTAAGCGCTCAGCATACGCACCTGTTGTGAGCATTTCCCTGGAAAATCACCTTCATTTGTGTCAACATCCTGTTATTAACGGCCCATTATTCTCCAGTTCTCGCAGTTGCCTTTCTCTTCCTCCCTCTATCTCTTCCTTTCTCATTCTACCATTACTATTTCTATTATTTCGGGCTTTCACTTTGACTTTTTCTTTTCTTTAACTTTTTCTCTTTCTCCTTCATATTTCTTTCTTTCCTTCTCTCTGTATTTTTTCCCTTTTTCATACTATTGCGATTTGTCTTTTTTCTTTCTTGCACCCATTGCATTTCACTCAATTTCCATTTCAATTTCATTTCATTCTCTTTTCTTTCATTTTTTCTTCCCATATCCTTTTTCCTCAGTTTCTTCCCTCATAAAATCTCTCCTTTTACCCATACGTTTCACATCCTTTCCTTTTTTCTTTTCCATTCTTTGCCCTCTCCCCCTCTCAGTTTCCAATTCCTTTCATCTATAACGTGTTTTCTATTCCATACCTTTTTCTCCTCTCCCTCCCTCTCTCCCTCCCTCCCTGCCTCCTCTCCCCCTCTCTCTCCCTTTCCCTCTCCCCCTCTCTCTCCCTCTCATCCTTTCTCTCCCTCTCACCCTTTCTCTCCCTCTCTCCCTCTTTCCACCTCTCCCCCTCTCTCTCCCTCTCACCCTTTCTCTCCCTCTCACCCTTTCTCTTCCTCTCATCCTCTCTCCCTCTTTCCCCCTCTCCCCCTCTCTCTCCCTCTCACCCTTTCTCTTCCTCTCACCCTTTCTCTCCCACTCACCCTTTCTCTCCCTCTCACCCTTTCTCTCCCTCTCACCCTTTCTCTCCCTCTCACCCTCCCTCTCCCTCTCACCCTTTCTCTCCCTCTCACCCTTTCTCTTCCTCTCACCCTTTCTCTCCCACTCACCCTTTCTCTCCCTCTCACCCTCCCTCTCCCTCTTCGCCC